CTTAGATTCTATTAAAAAATATGCCAAAAGTATAGTTGAAAAAGTGATCTCTCCATTTTTAGTCACTGATCATTTATTGCTTTTTGTACACACGCATTATGTCCAAAAGAATGACTATAGATAGAAAATCAATACCTTAATTTTGAGCATTCATATCTCTTTCATATAAACTCCAAATCACACAAAATTTTCACCAAAACCATAGCCAAAAACCTAAAATTATTGATCCTAGCCTCCAAAGCTCAAATGGCCCTGAAAAAATAACCCTAATTCCTAATAAGGCCTCGGGCAGCCTCCTTGAAGCCCATTGGGCATGATTTTTGGCCAATAGGAATGGAGATTTTCATCATCTATCTCCATTCATCCATATGGATGCCTTAATTTCTCTTTTTGCTTTTAAGACCCCTCTTCAATTTTTTTTCTAATAAGATTTATATAATATATGCCTTAAACACCAAATAAAAGAACCAAAATAAGACTTCAAAGGTTATCAATGTCTAATGAAGGTGACTTTAAATATGTAAAAGTTAATATCAACCAAAATTAATCTTAAATAATTTATCAATCAAAATTAATTAAAAAAAATAAAATTATATGAATTTTAAAATTATTTCTTTTAAATAACTTCTTTTAAAAGTAGTAATCTAACTACATTCTATAACCAATTAAAATCCATTAACATGGCTCTTACCATGTTATATAGTAAATTATATATTAAATATTTATATGCATTATTTTTACATAGTTGCCAAACCACAAAACGATAATATAGCTCTTAATTAAGAATATATATGGAAGCAAGAGTGAAGCTTTTTTCACACTTGTCAATGCCTTTTTAGTCTTTAGTCTTGTTTCAAGACCTTTTAGTCTTCTTGTCTTTTGGCAATAGCCATTCTAGTTTAATACCATATCATTTGTAAGTAACTTTTTAGTTCTTTTGAATGACACAAGAGTATATTAAGGATTTCTTTCTTTAAGATTCATGTCCTTGACACCCTCTTATCTTTGTAAAATTTGAAGTAGATATATAATAAAATAATTTTAAAAAATAAATTAAATAAAATTGACATCTATAAAATAAATTTAAAATAAATTGTAGAGCATCATATGATATTGAATTATATATTTATCTTATTTGGCTCTTTTATTATTATTTGAGTTGTAAATTATAATATGCTAAAAAAATTGTAATTTTTTTATTTCATAATTATTGTATATTAAATCTTTTTTATATTTGATCCAACTCGAATTTCTAAACTCTAAACCTAAATTTTTATATTCAAACCAAACATGATTGGTTCAAACTAAATTGGTGTATCTTTGGTCTTCCTAATTGATTAATCTATTAATTTCTTACTATTAGCTAATACACTTTATTTATGTTTGATGTTGAGTTGTAACATAATTATTAAATAAAAGATGAAAGTATTATATCATAGAAGATCTTATTTCAAAATAAATTATCAAATTATTTTATAAATATAAATAATATTTAAAGTGGTAATAAAACTATTAAATGCTAATCCTATGTTTTAGTAAGAAATAGCTTCTATTTATTTTGTAGGATCATACATAATAATAAAAAAATGTAGATTAACAAAACTAGTAGTATGGGCATTTTTAGATAGAATAAAATAGTAGCTTTTAGCATAAATTACCTAAAAAAACTAGATATTGATACTCGGAAAGAACTAGCTATGAACCTTAATTGAAATTGCACACCTAGGTAATTTTGAAGGTCTTTTGTTGATAAAAGAATTAAGATTAAGAGTGGCCTTGAGAGAATTTCTTTTAACTTTGATTTTGAATGATTTAAGTTTGTAATAACTTTGTAAGAATTTTGCAAAGTTAGGATTATTTTGGATGACTTTGGATTTTGTAAAATAAAAAAAATATTTTTATTTTAGAAAATTTTATAAACTTCACAATAGTTCTACAGGTGAAAATTTGTAAGTTTGTAAATACAATTATATTAAGTATATTCTAGAAATTTTGGTATAATTGGACTAATAGTTTAAAAATTATTTCAATTCTAATAAATTAGGATTATAAAATTTGGATTTTAAGGGCTTATAAAGTTTTTAAGATTTGTAATAATTTTTTAGTTGTATTAAGGTGGTATTTAATAAAATAATATCAAAATTGGTTTCCAACATTTGTGCATAATTTGAGAGCAATCAATTGGTGCATAAGTGAGATATTGGTACTAGGATCTTGGTATCAAGGTTGGAGAATGAAGTTGGCTAACACCCAAGCAAATTAAAAGTATATATTTTCTTAATTAGTAGGTTCAATTTTTTTTGTTCTTGTTTTCAACTAAGAGATTTAAATCTGAACATATTATAAGTGAAGTCCAAAAAATATTTTATTAATTATTGAAGTTTGAATTTACTATTGGTTTTCATTAGAATTTCATTAGAATTACTTAGGATTGGTTAGAATTTTATTAGATTTTATTAGGATTTATTTTATAATTTTTTGAGATTTCATTTGGATTGATTAGGAATTGCTTAGAGTTTTATTAGGATTTAATTAAGATTTTTTAGCATTTTTTTTGGTTGATTAGGATTTAATTAAGATTTAGATAGAATTTTTTGATTTTTTTGGGTTTTTTTAGGATTTGGTTATAATTTTTAGAATTTAATTTAGACTTATTTAAGATTTATTTATGGTTTCATTAAGAATTATTGAGATTCATTTAAGGTTAAATTGGAATTTGATTAAGTTTTTATTATATATAGAGAAAATTAAATTTTAAAAATTATATAATTAGGTATATCAATTGAAGATTGATTTTTACCTTGATAAATTAGACAAACTAATTTTTATAGAAGTTAATAGGAACTATGGATAATAAAAAATAATAAAAAATATTTTTTATTATAATTAAAATATATAACATAACATAAAAATCTATTAATAAAATATTTATATAGATTACAAAATCAAAATTTTAGTTCCTATTACATAATATTTGATGGCATTGTACTAAAACTTTAATGATTTAGTTTACCTTGAATATAAAGATTACCAAAGTTTAGAATAGAAAATAAAATTTGGATCTAACTATTATATTATCATTTAAAGAAGAACTAAAAAAATATTACATTAATTGTAATAGTGAAAAGAAGAGAAAGACTATGTAGTGAAGAAGAGCTAGGTTAATAAAAATTAATAATATGTATGAATTTTTTATATTAATAAAAAAATATACTAAAACTTTTATGAGTTTTTTAAATTGACTCCTAGAAGTTGTTAAAAGCACATCAAAAACACTTCTTTTGAGTGTATTTGGTATTCAATATCTTGTATTAAGCATAAGCTGTTATTTTAAATGTTTTGATGGCAATGAACATTTTTTTTTTTTTTTTTTTATACATAATAATTTTTTAGCATAAATGCTTGACTTTTAAATATATATATATATATATATATATATATACACACACACATATACATTCTAAAATAGCATATTTTATATTGGTGATTAGAGTAGAGACAAAAATACACACGACTTTTATTTATGTCACTATGATTTTAATAACCTATTTTAGAAAATTGTACTCTAAGTTACAAGAATTAAAAAATTAAAAAAATACTGGATTACATAAATTTAGAAAATAATGCCAAAAATTTCTAAACATAATTTTTTATTTCATCTAAATAAAGAGTGTTTAAATATAATTTCCAAATTCCTTAAACTTAGCACCTTTAATGGATAATAATTTTGATATCAAATTCAAAAGAAACAAATGTTAATTTTTTTGCATTGAATAAGAAGAAAAGATTTTTGGCCAATTTTTGTTTTCTTGTATTCTATATAAAAAAAAAAAAAAAAAAAAAAAAAAAAATCTCTTGATCAAATATCTATCTAAGTTTATGATTTCTCCAACTATCCTTTAAAGTTGCAATATAGTAATTTATTATAAAATTTAAAGAATAATTTGTAGTAAATCTTATAATTACCATTTGCCTTTGTAAATATATATATATATATATATATATATATATATAAAATAATTTATGTATATATCAAAATTTTGTTATAAATACCACAAAGAAATAAATATACATAGTTTCTTCTATATGCATCTAATAACATTTCATTTAGCAAAGTCCTTTGTAAGTCTAATAATAATCAATTAGTCTATAAAGAATGTTTTATAGTTTCTTGCATTATAATGTCTTTAAAATTCTAATCCATGATTTATAGATTAAAATATATTATATATTCATCCTAAAAAATTTAAAAAGAGTAATAGTGAGGTCTTTAAGTTTCAAATTTTATTGGTGTAGAAATTTGTAGATTGAATTGTTAAAGTTGTAAACAATTAAAAAATTACTAGTAGTATAGGTATTTGTTGTAAGTACATGGATATAAAATCAAGAATAAAAAAGAAATCATGTTAAAAGAGGTTCATCTAGCTACAAAGAAGGGAGATCAAAAGTTATAAGTAGAAGCATGCTTGAAGATGTGAATAACATTCTTGATTAAAAAAGAAAGGTGACTATGACCAAACATTTTCTCTTATACATAAAATATGTGTCATTAATTCATATGAGCTTTGTTGAGTGTTTTTCATAGACAAAGTTTGAGTGAAACATATAACACTCAACATGTTGGCAAATTTTAATAACAATTAACCATGTTGAGATTTGAATATAGAGTAATTAAACATGTAGTATTTACTGCATCATACACGTTTTATTGAGATATTACACTGCTCCAAATAGTAACATGAATGTTTTTTTGCTTCACCTAAAACCAGCATATAATTTACTGGTTCTTCCAACCAATTAAAAGTAATATGGATTTAATGATTGATTTCACTTCTTGTTGATGACGAACCTGTTTTCAAAAATGAAATAACTAAATAAATAAATAAAAAGATATCTATATATATATACCAACTCCACTGCTACACAACAAGCCAAAATGAGAAGGGAATGATCCGCACAGCTCAGGCAAGTTCACCAAACGAATACTGACCACACCGACAATGAATAACTGGCCGCTTCCAGGGAAGCTAAGGTTTATTTAATGATAATTGCGAAGCCATGACTTGCAATGATTACTTCAAGCTCCAATAGAGTTGCTACCTACTTGGAGTGTCACGGTGCTCAACTTGAGTTTACTGTGCATGCGTTTTTCATGCACGCTGATTTACTGTGCGACACCAACTAAAAATCAGCCCTCGTCTAACGAAAGAACTGTAAATTAACGCCGTGGATTAGGGAAATAAGGAGAACCAGTAGAAAAACACTCCATAACCTAATTGGAAATCTGGCTATCTTGTTGGTTCATCACTAATAGGTGCAATAACTCTCAAGTACATCAAAAGTAAGTCGTCATGGTAAGACTACCAGAATGGCAAGACTCCATCTCCAATTGAAGAAGACTCTAAGCAAGAAACTGGGTGCTATTGACAAAAAAATCATCTGAAATGCAAATCCACTAATTGACAATTTTATGTGTATCAAGAGAGTAAAAGCTAGAATTTAGAACCAGAACTCTGTCTAATGCTGGTTGCATCTTCATCTTCGGGGGAGAATTGGTAATTGTCATACACTTCCAGAAACATCTCCCTGCAGTGGACAACAGCACCTAAATTGACACAAGCAAGAAACGAGCCGGAAAGTTTCCTATGCAGACTGTAAGCCTCATCTGGTGGGGCTGTCAATCTGTACCTTAACATCGTTGCACCAAGCTTCGTAACTTCTTGTGTCAAGTTCGTCGTGCGAAAGTCAAAACCTCCTGGCTTGACAAACGGCCACCCGACCACAAAAGCAGCTTCCACATGAGCATCAATCATAACACTTGACTCCTTTCCTGTCAAGAACCCCAGAAGAATAGACTGCCTAATCACCTGCTCTCGATCCTGGTTAGCACAAGCAAGAATCTGCACAGAAGATAGCGACATGTACATCATTCTCTTAATTCAGCAAGTACAATTAAGGAAACAGTTGATCGTCCTCACTTGAAACTCAGACGCAAGACCTATCAGGTTAGACCATAAAGCAGCAGATTTGGAAGAGACATGACAAATCGTACACAGGTTAAAAATCACTCTATTAAAATTTGCAGTAAAATCACCTAAAGGTATCTCTTTCTGCAATTCGCTTACAATACCAAACTGACAACTAGAAATCTAGCGAGTGAGCGGAAAAGGAAATGATCACACTGGAGTACTACCACAAGAAACTTCAAAATGTTTAAAAAAACAGTAAAAAGTTTTCAGTGCCCACCATCTTTAAGTAATTGTCCACAAAACGTCTAGGATATTCTCGAGCAGCCCCGAAGTCAATAAGATTGATAGTGCCTTTGGCTTCGTCATATAGAAAATTGCCCCAATTTGGATCCGTCTATAAATTCCAAGAAAAACTACACATCAATGCCCAGGGAATGTAGATCGTACTTGTTTCACATAAAATAAGCAAGTGAACTTTTAAATTGTGCATAAATAACAGAAAGATATGATCTTTTCTCTAGATGAATGACTGAAATTAATCATAGCAATACTTGCCTGCATGAACCGAAATTCAAAAAGCTCCCGCAATGTTAGGCTGAGCAATGCTGCACCTACTCGATCCCGGACATTCTGATCCAACTCTTTTACTTTATCTATAGGTACTCCTGTTAAAAATTTGCATACCACTCATGAGAAGTATGGGGAAAAGACGAAGGAAAAGATAAAAAAATATAAAGCAAGCCATCTTAACTTTTCAAATGCGCATCTTGCTACGCACAAACCAGTGAGACGAATGAAAACCAGCATTAGGTTTAGTAAAAAATTACCAGGAACAAGTTCTGTTGTGAGCACACGTGTATTGCAGAACTCCTCGTACACACGCGGTACATAAAATGCCTCATCATTTTTCAAGAGCTCACGAAATCTCCTCTGATTGGCTGCTTCTAGCTTGTAATCACATTCCCTGGCCAGTTCATCCTTTGCAACCTGTTTTATGGAAAGAGTGTTAAGATCCTTTGCTTCTTCACGGCATGAAATGAATTTCGTACTCATGTAGCACACAACTCAATACACAACAATGAAGACAGCTTGCACTACGGTAAGCAATGGTTACCCGCATGGCTTGGTCCAGGTAAAGCCCTTTGGGAATGACATTGGTGTAGTCTAGAAGGCGCCTGACATTTTCAATATCGCTGTCAATGCTGTTAGCCACGCCTGGATACTGAATCTTCATTGCAACCACAGTCCCATCCTTCAATATAGCTCTATGTACCTGTGACCAGCGCAGTTTAGATCATCACAATTTTTTAAGGATGGAACATAACTTGCGAAAATCAAAGGTGGTGAACCTGTATTAAGAAATAGCACTGCAACCAATGATAATTGATAGGTTCAAGAAAGCACAGAACAAGCTTGATTTTTTTATCAGTACAATCCCTGAATCCTTGCAAATCTAGAAAAAGCTGGAAACAAACATGCCTGTCCAATGCTAGCCGATGCAATAGGCTCAGGATCAAACGACTGTAGTCGATCCTGCCAATTAGGACCGAGTTCTGCTTCTATCACTTTCATAAGCTGACGTTTCGGCATGACATCCGCTCCTTGCCTGACACGCTCCAAAGCTTCCAAGATCTGTCAGTCGCACACCCAATAAAATCGAAAAAAATAGAAAATTAAGATTGAATATCAAATAAGCTCTTAGAAAAGCATCATCAACACTAAGAATATTGCATGAGTCAAAAAAACTACCAGCAGCCTGACTGTTGCGTGATTAAAAACACAATAAAACTAGAGATTAGAGATTAAACATAACGAATCAATTTGGATATGCTTATTGTATTAGTTCATGCTCAACCCAGATAGTAACTATCTGTGAAAACACTAAACAACAGTTTTCATAAGAAAAGGAGTCTTACAGGACGCGGCACGATGGACTCGTCTTGTATGCTTAACATTTGACCTACTTTCAATGCAGCTCCTCGCATTCGGCAGAGAGCTAAGGCTAAGCGCTCGGCATTGTCCGCGGTTAGAAATGGAGACAACATCGCTTGTCCTGGAGCAGTTGATCCCTGACCGCCCCAAATTCTCCTCGCAGACTCTTGGAAAGTGCCCCAAGCAAGTCCAGCTCCTAATCCTGCAAAACTGCAGTTAACAGCTCTATGAGCATGATGCCCAAAAAAAGAAATTTTATTGTGGATCAAAGGATTGTGATTAGCTATTCGTTTCTTCGTTCAATTTGTAGTTATGCGCACGAATATGTAATTGTGTCATGTTGTAATCAAATGCATTATCCACAACGCAAACGAAATATCAAATAAGAGCTTTCAAAACTGTATGATCCATGCAATAAGAGAAACAAAGTGAGAGTAAGAGTGAGAGAGAGAGAGCGAGTTCGAGAGAGAAATCACACCCCATGACGCGTCCAATTGGAGTTGAAGGAACCCGCCTCTCTCTCACTTTGCGTTTCTTTGGAGAGGCTTTAAAGTCTTTGCCTCCTGCATTTATCTCTCCTCCTGAACCTGTTGCCGAGCCAAACGTGACCGTCAAGTGAGATAGATACTCAGATACGGTGACAGGTGATATAAGATAGTAATGCCGCAAAAAATGAACTTTAAATGCAAAGGAATTAAATGCTACTACGGGATAAATACAACACCTTTGTGTGAAGCTTGTAGCACCTGCTCAACTTTTGTAGCTTGAATATCCACACTTGATTCTTGTTTTCGATCCGCCACTTGCATAGGAATCCCGGCTCCGCCCAAAGCCGGAGACTTATGGGAACCATTGGAATTCACTGGAGTGAAATTATGGAGAGGTTTAGACAAAGGAGTCTCAGGCACGGATGGCAGTATTTGCTCATTAACCAATGACAGCGATTCTTCCGTTCGACTTGAAGCAGATGGCACACGATTGCGTGGAGGCCCTAAACTATCAAGCGTATTGAGCAAGTAAGAGTCTCTGCCACCAGCTGCAACTGATGTGGGTACATTTGTTGAAGACACATCTCTAGCTCCCGCAATTTCCCGATCTTGCTTTTCATGTAGATGAAAGGATTCACGATTTTTCACTTCCTTAACACGCCCTTGGGTAAGTCCAGTGAGGTCTGTGACCGTACCCGTCACTGCCTTCAGAATATCAAAAGCCGTACCGCCAACATTACCTGGTCGAAGCGTTGGAGCCGACTTTATGGACTCCTTAACAACCATCGCCAAACCCGACGCTACTTTACTCAATTCCTGAAGGTGCGACATCGTGAACCGAATGCTTCTGACACTTCCAAAAATGCGTAAAAATCTCCAAGCACAAGTAATTCACGCACGCAGTGCAACTAACGCGCATGAAAGTTTTCCAACACTTCAGTTCTAGGACTGTCCTCACTCTAGTGGTAAAAACTCCTCGTACTGCTGCTATAAGTATCCAAAATTACACGGAAAGCTAAAGGACGCACTTCACACCACTACAAAATATCAGACAACGAATGCTCCTAACTCCATCTTGAACTAAAACACCAAAGAGAATAGAATTGAACTCCTGACATATCGGTTTTCCCGCACTGTAACCTACGCATTCAAACTGGAGCGAATGCTAAATTAACTTCAGAGCTCAACAATTCTACAACTAACGCAGAGAGACGATACGCACAACAATGCAACTAACGACGATCTCCTCCGAAAACCTCAACAAAACCGGCTCCGCAGCAATACCAAAGACATCAGTGAAAGAAGCATTCCTGGGACGGGCAATTCCAACGCAATTTGAGAAGAGAATTGCATTGCGAGCCACGTCTGTGCCGAAACGTCGAAGCTCGATTAGGGCTTGGTGGAGTCCATACAGACCAGCCACGTCTCCCAAGTGTCTTCATCGGGCTTCTGGTGTCTCTAATTTGAACCAGAACTCTTCGCCCCACGTCGTCATCGAATCCACATACCCGGGCTGATAATATTTCCAACCCCGTGTAGTTCGACCCCGGTGACCGGGTATCATGAAACCTCTTGCCCACTAAAAATTTGAAGACTGCTGGAAGTGCTTTTAGAGGCTTCATTAGTAGGAAATGTATTGAGCCTTTAAAACAGTTAATTTTTTCTTGTTTCAATTTCTTGGAATGGTTTTGTTATTGATTATTGTTCAATTGTAATATCACGTCTTACTTTTCTATATTGAGTTCTTGCAAAACTCAATCACAACTTTGTTGTCATAAAGAATCTGTAAATGTGATGGGTTTGGTATTTCCTCAATTCTTTGTGTTGAGAGAATCTGCTTCACTACATAAATGCATCACAGTTTGTATGAGTCTATGAAATGGAAAATGAATTATTGAAATGTTACATGGTGTGATTATTTTGGACGTAGAACTCAAGTCAAAGAATAAAAGAATATAATAAGTAATGTAGATTTGACTTTTGATACATCATGTGAAGAATATAAAGCAAGAAATATTTAAAAAACCTCATACACACTATTTTTATTTTATTTATTTAAGTATTGACATCAGCTTTCATATGCATCTTACAGTGAATGAGATAACAATCTTTTCAATAAGAAATGCCCACAAACTTTTTTGGTACTAATACTTAATTAAATCCATGTGTTGATTTTATCAAAATTTCACATATTTTCGAAAATTTTCAACTAAAATTGCATATTATTTGTATATAATACAATCTATGGACAACAATTATTTTAGCAAGGATAATTGCAAGAAAAATCATTATATGTTACATTACCAAAAGCAAAAATTAGAATGGATTTTTACTTGAAACATTACATACTTATTTAATAAAAAATAAACAACTTATCTACATCATATCTTATATAATACTTGTGGAAGCATAAAAAATGCTTTATAGTAATTTTTATTTTATTTTATTAGAATCAAATTTCGTTTTCATTCTCTATTTAAGATTCAAATCATGGCATTTTATTTTATCTTCTTATGTTTGGCATTAGTTATTTTAGTTTTAGTATTATATTATCTTTGAGTCATTATCTACTTTTGTTTAGTAACACAAGAATGTATTAAATTTTTAGTTCTTTATAATTCATGTCATTGAAAATTTAATAAGAGTGTTAATTTATTATTTTGGTTCTATTTTAGAAGTCTATGGATTACTCTAATTTTTTGTTGTATTTTGAAATATGTAGGCTATCTACTTTTAAACAAACAGTCTTGTTTTCTAATATTGATTCTTTTCTTAAAGAGGGTAGATTACTTTTTTTAGTTGAAGTTTTTATTTGATATTAAAATTTGTGAATTATTCTTCTTTAATTTAATTTTATAATTTGTCTAAATCATCTATATTAGGAATAGAAGAAAAAATTATAGATTTTATATTTAAAAATAATAAGAATAAAGAATATAATTATCAAAGAGGATAATGTATTGAATAAAAAATTTCTCCAATTACTATAGAGATTATGCAATTGGAATCTTATACAATACCTAGTAAAAGTCCTATTTTTTTCTTAGATTCTTTGCTTTGATTTACAATAGATGTTTGTTTAGAACCAAAAAATTACAAAGTTTTTACTTTGTTAGATTTAAAAGCTTTAGCTTCTTTTATACATGAAGATTTTGTTAAAAAATAAGAAATATCCTAAATTAAAAAAACTATGTCCATATATGTAGGAATCATAGATGGTCGTTTATTATCTTTTAGAGATGTTATTCATGAAATCATTTTTTTAGTTACAGCAATTAATAGTTATAATAACTTAGTAACATTTAATGTTATTGAATCTTTTTTTAACCTAATTATTTTAGGTTTATTATAACTAAAAAAATATAATCTTCAAATAGATTGGATTTTTTGTAACCTTGATTTTTTCCATAGAAAAATTTAAATTCTTGTGATTTAAGTAAAAAGACATAAATCTAATACATCCAAACTCTTATTGATTAGTGCAAGAGCTTTTATGCATGTTGAAAAAGAAATATTATCTTTTATTATTTATGCCATATCTATTTTTTATAATAGAGAGACTTCAAGCAACAATTCAAATCAACATAAGGATTATCAAGACATTTTAAAAAAGAAAGTTAATATCCTTCTAAAACATTGTTCTTATCATTGTTTAATTGATCTTTAAGAAAGAATTCAATTGCCAATTAGATCAATTTATAGTTTATTTCATAATAAATTGATTGTACTCACGAAATATATTGATGATAGCTCAGTTAAATACTTCATGTACCATTCAAAATCTTCAATTCAAGCACCTATCTTCTTTGTGAAGAAAAAAGATGGATCATAGCGAATGTATATAGACTATTAATGGCACAAAAAGATTATCATTACAAATAAGTATTTTCTATTTTTGATATCTAGACTTTTTGATCATTTAAGTTAAATTAAGATTTAAATAAAAATAGATCTATATTAAATAGATAATTTAGTATTCATCAAAAAAAATATGAATAAAAATTTATATTTTAAATACAATGTCATGCCTTTTAGACTAAAAAAATATACCAACTGCTTTTTTCAAAAAAATTCTTATAATTATAGATTTATTTTAAAAATGATGCTATTATTTAGAATACACTTCTAGTCTAGTGATTGTTTATATAAATCATAAGAATCTTAAGTATTTTATGTAAATATATATTTTAAATCATTGTTAAGCATGTTGCAGCATGTCATTATTAAGATTTAAATTCAAAACTACTTAAAAATTAAGAAAAAATATAATTTATCAACTTCTATTTTTAGATATTTAAATTTTATATTAAAATAAAAAATACATCTTTTTATCAAAAATACATAATTATTTTAAAATCAACATTGATTGTTGATTCAATGTTGATGCAAGTTAAATCAAGTATGTCCTTACATTCTTATATTTATGATATTAAGAATAATCTATCTAAATTTCATGATACTTCAAGAAAAATCTATTATATTTAAATAGATGCTTATATGTTTGAAAAAGTGAAGGATAATTAAATATTCTTTAAGATTATAATGATTTTTCAATTACAAGATATTTTAGATATAGTAAGATCTTAGAGTTGATATTAGGGATTTTAGGTGGCGTTAAATATAAAACATAAATAATGATTTGCCACAACCTTTTCAAATTTATCAAAACTAAAAATTCTTTCTAATTAATATTATGGACTTTTTAACAACTACTACACCAAAAAAACCATAGCCATTTTTTTTTTTATAGATTTTATCACAAAATATATAATTAAAATTTCATAAAAATAAAATACATGAAATTTAAAAAATTAAAAGACCAAAATACTCTTTTTTTAATAAAAAAGACTAGATACTCACTCAAATATGATATAAAAATAAACTAATATGGCTATTCTTGAAGATAAGAAGACTAAAAAGTCTTGAAACAAGATTATATCATAGATAAATATATTAATTCTAAAATTAACCTATATGAATAAGTAGAAGTAAATAAAAGTAGATTTATTTCATAATATTTTCTAAATAAGCTTCTAAAAAGCTTCAAAGATGTTGCTTTATATTTGTAGTTGATTGATAGCTTAGAAACTTGATCAATAAGTTAATCATGTGTTGATAGCTTGCAAAACAAGTTAACTATGTGGCGTACATATAAAAAACTTGCCTTACAAGTTAAGATATGTATCCTGCAAAGTTAATATGTTTTGGAGGTCCTATAAAATATTGTTATGTAGTTCATATTTAAAAGTATATATAGAAGCAAGAGTGAAGCTTTTTTATCATATTGACTTCAACTTCAAAAAAATCTTCAATACAATCTTGTATTATTGAATGGAAGTAGAAATTCACTTAAAGATTATATAATATTGAACTAGAATGGCTATTGCCAAAAATCAAGAAGACTAGAAAATTCTAAAACAAGACTAAAGATTAGAAAGGCATTGACAAGAGTGAAAAAGGCTTCATTCTTGCACTCATGTATACTTTTAATTAAGAGCTGTATGACTTTGTAAGACATACATCTTAAATTCCAAGTTAAGTTTTCTATATGTGTGCTACATAATTTGCTTATTTTACAAACTATCAATACATGGTTAACTTGTTGATGAAGTTTCCAATCTACCAATTAATTTAAAATATATATAAAATCAAAGAAATACCTATAAAGCTTCTAGGAAGCTTATTTAGAAGGTAATATGAAATTAATCTTTTTTTATTTATTTTTATTTACTTCAACTTAATCATATAGATATTTACTTGAGTATGTATGTATATTTGTGACATTACAGATCCTTCTCAAGACGAGTTCGATGAAGAGCAATCATCGTGTCTTGATAAATTTCAAAATAAGATAAAATATAGTTACTATATACTTTGATCTCTGTTCTCTTCAAAGATGGTTGATAGATCTTCTCAGCCATCACTAGTATCCCATACCAAGGCCAAAAGATCACCCTATCATTTGATTGTTGTTGAAGCTTTTATAACTTCCTTCAAATAAAACATTTGGAACACTGTCAGAAGTTGTTCCTATTTCTAATAAAATCTCAAAACATCGAGAGTCTCTTCTAACTTTGTGATACTAAACACATTGTATTTTGTCATTTATTGGAGGAAATACATGTCATTCTTAAGGATCTTCATCTCGATTATGTATCATGGGCATATATATTTACCTCAATATTTATTTATATGATTAAGTAGAAGTAGGTAAAATAGAATAATTTCATAAAGTCTTCTATAGAAGCTTCCTAGAAGCTTCATAGATACGGTTTTGACTTTAGATGTGTTCATAGATTAGAAACTTGGCCAAAAAACTAACCATGTATTGATAGCTTGTGGAACAAGTTACCTTCGTATAGTAGCTTGTCGAACAAGCCAACTACGTAGCACATATATAGATAACTTGCCTTGCAAGATAAGATATGTGGCTAGCAAAGTTAACACAT